AAGGAGAAGGAGAAGGAGAAGGAGAAGGAGAAGGAGAAGGAGAAGGAGAAGGAGAAGGAGAAGGAGAAGGAGAAGGAGAAGGAGAAGGAGAAGAGATATGGCAGCATGGAGCCTTTATCTAGCACCCAGGGAGCTGCAGGGGCTTGGAAGGATAGGCTCACCAGGCCTGCTTCACCACTGCCCCCTGCAGCCCTGCTGGAGGTGTTCAATAGGAACTCGCCCTGTTGTATGCCCCGTGCATCTTCTGTGGCTGCCCCAGCGTGCAGCCCAGTTGCCCTGGTGTCCAGTGGCTCCAGGTTGTATCCAGTGCCTGCCTGGCTGTCATCTGCTGCTCATAGGTACCTTCGGGCCCAGAATCCAGCCCAGCAGATCACCTCCCTTCATGCTGTGATGGAGGGCAAAGGTGGAGAGGCCTCTGACTGTGCAGCATGGGGCTTCCGGAGCTGTGTCCAGCTGCTGTCCTCCCACAGCACATCCTGCTGGCCCTCAAGTCAGCATACCCACCTGTGAGCACCCCATCTTGCTCCCCACTATGTAACTCAGTGGCTTACACAGTCCCTACTGTGTGTTGGCCTGGTATCCCAAAGTCCCCTAGACTCAGTTGCTTCTGGGCAGGGGTTGTGGTAACTTCTGGCTCCCTCCAGCACTGTCCCTTGATGCCCTGTGGCTCCAGGGCTCTGAGGAAGGACGTCAGGGCCTGGGACCTCAGGCCCACTGTGTGTGTGTTTTCCTTCCACAGGACTGCACCTTCTTCAATAAGAAGGACATCCTCAAGTAAGTGTGGCTTCTTGTGCTGAGGTTGCAGCAGGGTGGGTGGGGACCCCGCGTGGGCTGCCTGTAGAAGCTGGCCTTGAGAAAGGGCATGGACACTGTATACAGGTCTTGGCTGTACTGGGCCGCTGTGCAGACTCCAAAGCTCCCCACTGTTCCCAGCTCTTCTGCCAGGCATGAAGCATCTGCTTTCTATACTGGCCTCTCTCCAGGTTGGGGTCATTTAATCCTCACCATGTCATTATCTCAGGAGGATCCCCTTACTACCCCCACCCCCAGATGTGGCTCAGAAACTCCATGCAAGTCATACCACCAGGGACCAGAGATCTGGCTGCTGACAGGTCCCTTGCTGTTTCCTTGTGTGGAGGGGAGCTGCTGTAGGGAGCCCCTATCTTCTGTACTCCAGCACTGATGTCCTGCTCCTAGGAGGTCCAGCCATCGGGGCAGCCCTGCACTGGTGGGTCAGTGCAGTGGTCATGAGTGGGAAAGAAAGGAGTCTCAGAGCTGTAGGACCAGACAGGGCTGGGATCACAGATTTGGAAGCCTGCTCTGTGGCCTCCACTGGTCCCCTGGCTCAGGTTATCGGGTGACATCAAAAGCAAGTGAAGCCTCAGGTGCTCAGTTTTCCTGGAGATCAGTGGAGGCTGGGCCAGTGTCTGTGTGGCTTCCCAAGCCCTGTGCTGCAGTGTGTACCTGACCTCTCTGCTTGGCTTGCCCGTGTGCCTCCCCAGGCTGTCACTCTACCTGTCCTCAGGCCGGTGGTGATACTGCTTCCCCCCTCAGAGGCCTGGCCTTGGAGAACCTGGGTTCTACTTCCAAGTCCCAACTCCATGACCACAGACATGGTATGACCTCCCTGTCTCAGCTTTTCTGAGAAATGGAGGCAGGAGCCCTGCTCAATGTCTGATGACTAGGACTTGGCTTATGGCTTAGTGACGTAAGCTAAATCCTCACAGGGATATGATGGCTCTTGAATACATCCCATAGTCACCACCCAGGTGCTCTGGTGGGCAGACCTTCCTAAGCTTTGCCACACTTGTCTTCTGCTGCAGCCCATCCCCCATGCCCTAGGTTACAGATGCCCCCAGGCTCTATCTCTCCTTAAGTCATGTTCTGACCTTTTTATGGGCTGTTCCTGCTGCTTGGGATCCAGTCGATCATGGTCACTTTTTCTGCCTTGACTTTGCCATGCCCCCCACCTCCTGGCACCCCAGCACACAGTGGTCTCACAGTCTGGGTAGCCCAGGGCATCACTGGCTTAGATCCCAGTGCCTCCTAGGCTTGTTGTTGAGCAGAATTGGGCCTCCCTACCCACACTTGGCATTAATGATACCAGTTGGCTCCTGGCAGGTGCTTGAGGAGGCTATGTGAAGGATGGGAGGGTGTGCCCAGTTAGAGAACAGCAGGGTTGCCCCCAGGATGAGGGGGGCTTAAGCCTCCATGCCTGACCTTTGTGGGTATCCCTGTCCCATTGGCAGGTGGCAGCACTGTGGGAGGGGTGTCCTGGCTCCTATAGCCCTGGCCTGCCCAACTCTGTACCAGACAGCACCCTGGCCTCTGTAGCTCGAAACCAAGCCTGAGGCTAAGAGGTAAAGGACCCCTGGCAGCTGGATGGCCTCTCCTGTCCACAGACCCCCTTCCTGTTCTCTCACTGGTTCCTTCAAGATGTACCCCTGGGTTAGCCTTCACCAGGACCCAGTGGACTAAACCAGGGCTTGTTCTACAAAGTGGCCAAGTAGGGAAGGAGGTGAAGATTCTTGTCCCCATTGTGTGCCCTTAGAGCAGGCACCCTGGCTCTGTCCCTGCCATGTCACCCTGGAGCATTAGCCCTGGCTCAGTCCCTAGCATGTTTCAGGTGTCCCACTGTAAGTAGAGACACAATGTGCCTGACATTGTTTACTCCTGGTCCCTGTGATTGGAGGGGCCAGAGTGACAGTGTTGTTAGATGTCATAGAGGTGGCCCAGAGATGACCAGGGCTCCTGGTGAGCCCTCCCTGTGGAGATGTAGCGTGAATCCCACGACTCTATCTCTGTTTCAACTGCTTTGCTTTCCTCAGTCCCTTTCCTGGGATCCAGCAGAGCAAGCGTGACTACTGATCCCCCACCCCGCCTACTGTTCACAGTGGTCCACTCTCCTCCCTGCCCCCTCCCACCAGCTGTTTTGGAAAGCAGCAGCTGCCTGATAGCCAGAGGGTACTTGAGTGGGAGGCTCTCCTTCCCAGCAGCATGAGTCGGTGATGCCAGCCACAAGTAGTGTGCTCATTCTCCCCTCACCTGATGCTGAGCCCCATGTGCCCCCACTCCACTAGCCTCTTTCCTTCTGTGAGTGAAAGCTCAGGGCTTCAGCTCCCTGTGCCCCAACTCTATTGTGTTCCTTAATGCATAAGACAGGAGTCCTTGTCTCTTTAGGACAGAGGAAGGCTCAGTCCTTTAGCACCCCAGTCCTTTGTCCTTTGCCCAGTTGTTGCCTTATTGTTTATTTCAGGTGTGTGTGTGTGTGGTATGCTAGGGATTGTATCCAGGGCCTCCACATTGAGCTGCTAACCCAGGAGCCTGAACCTCAGCTGTCTATAGGTCCCAAAGCTCTATAAGTAAATGCAGCTGGCCAGTTAGGGCTCATTAGAACTGACCTCTGCAGCAGCAGCTGCTGTAAGCTCCCACATGGCTAAATAAGCATTATTATTATTATTATTGTTGTTGTTGTTGTTGTTGTTCTAGGGACTGAACCCAGGACCTCATACTGAAACCCAGCCCTTTTTTATCTTTTATTTTGAGACTGGTTTTCACTAAATTGCCCAGGCTGGCCTCAAACTTTTTTTTTTTTTTTTTTTTTGCGGAACCGGGGATTGAACTCAGACCCTTGCACTTGCCAAGGCAGCGCTTATTCTACTGAGCCATTTCCCCGGCCCCAGGCCTCAAACTTTTGATCCTCCTTACTGTCTCCCAAGTAGCTGGGATTCCAGGCCCTTGTCACCACAACTGGTTAATTATTTTTTAAATACTCTGTGAGGGCCAGCCAAATAGCTCAGCAGACTAAAGTGCCTGCAAGCAGGCACAGGGGCCTGGGTTTGGTCCCTGGACCTGCCGGGTCAGCCCCGCCCCAGGGGTGCCCGGAGATGGCAATTGAGACTGGACGAAGTGGTGTGCGCCTATAATCCCAGCTCTTGGGAGGCTGTAAACAGGCAGATCACTGCAAGTATAATCTAGTAGTGAGACCCTGAACACCTTGTAGACCGTTTCCTAAAATACAGGAGAAAAGAAAAAGAAACATTGGAGCTAGGGATATAGCTCAGTGGTAGAGAGCATGTTTTGCACATATGAGGCCTTGTGTTCCACCAACAGCACCAAAAAATGAAAAACCCAAAAAATAAGTCAGAAGTAGGTAAAAAAATCATGAATGAAATTAGCCTCCCAACTTGTCAAGCATTTTTCTGGGTGTCTGTTTAGCTGTACGGTCATATATGGATTTAATTGATGAAAGGTTTTTGCCTATGAACATGATTTATAGTCCACAGATTTCTAAATATAGAGCCATCCTTGCATCCTGACAAAAACCCTAGTGAGGGGACTAAGGATATAGCTTAGCACCTGTCTGGCAAGCACAAGGTCCTGATTTCAGTTCCCAGTACAAAAACAAACACACACCCTAGTGGGGGCTGGGAATATAGCTCAGTGGCACAAGCCCCTGCTTGGCAAGCGCAAGGTCCTGAGTTTGATTCCTCGTACAAAATAAAACAAAACAAAAAAAGCCCTCCTAATGAGTCCTGGTAACATTATTCTTTTAGAATATTAAAGGTGACTTTTGGGAATGTTATTTTTGAAGACTTTTGCATGTAGGTGTGCAGGTGTGTGTGGTTCATTCTAGATGCCACCCACTGGGTCTGCCATGGGGCTACTATTGACTTTCTAAAATAAACTTAGAGGTTTTCACACCTTACCCAATGCTCAAGCAGTTCAAGTAATGCAAGCATTTCTGGTCCTGGATGTTAGGATAGGACAACTATGTAAGTCTTCTTGAACTTAGTGGAAGGGGCACATTTGTGTGGCCTTAGACAAATCACCCTAAACCTCTTGGACCTTGGTTTGCTAAGCTGTGAACGGTGGTGCATGTGTGTGCACAGTGAGTGGGAGCAGGTTAAATAGCCTGTTTCAGGTCCTGAAGCTCAGAGGAAAGAGTGGAAAGACTGAGGTACAGGCCCAGAAGGTGGCAGTGGAAACAGTGAGGCTGGGCACTGTCTCTGTCAGCACAGGGCTCTGGGCAGAGCCCCCCTCCCTGCCAGCGCCACCTCCTATGAGCAAGGTTGTTGGTACCCTCTTGGCCCTCACCTGGTCCTATTGAGGTTGGCTTTTAGAGCTGGGTCAGAGCAGGTGTTGGGGAGCACCAGGAGACAGGGTGGCTGGCCCTCATGCCTTACCTCTGCTCCCCAAGGCTGCACGCGAGGTTCTATGAGCTGGCCCCCAACCTGGTGCCCATGGATTACAGGAAGAGCCCCATCGTCCATGTGCCCATGAGCCTGATCATCCAGATGCCAGAACTCCGGGTATGTGCATGCCTTACGGGTGGGCAGGGGATGGGCATCTGCACCCAGGGTGGGCAGCATCAGGCAGCCCTGAGCTCCTCTCTTTGTGGTTATGTGGCACTGGGCAGATGTCTGGACTTCTCCACCTCTCCGTGGGACCAGGCTCATGGTGTGGAGAGGGGCAGTGCCCAAGGACAGGAGCCACAGGCTTTGTCCTTGAGTTTCTGGGTTGCCTGAACTTGACTCACAGTGAGCTGGCTAAGCGCTGGCAAGTAGGGAGGAGGGAGGCTGGCAGAATGGGCTCAAGTCATGGGGCATCAGAGAAGGGTGTTGATCTTCAGCCTCCAGGGGCAGGAGGTGGCTTGGGACGCAAGCCTGGTGCTGGCACTCACTCTGTGTCTCTTGCTGTGCATCTGGGTCTCGTATTTGACCTTTTATGGCCCCGCTTTCACCTCTGCCTCCCTGGGTGTTGACTTTCTTCTGTGGAGGGGATGTTTCTATGCTGCTTCAGGATGAATTCTTGCTCCTGCCTCAAGAAGGCATGATGGGAGCACACAGAGGCCCCGTGTGACTCCTCACCCTGCCAAGCTGTTGCCCACCTGCATGCGCTTAAGCTCCTGGAGTCCCTGACAACCCAGCTGAGCAGATGCCCTCACTGTTTCCATTTTGCAGAAGGGAAACCAAAGTGCGGAGGGTTGGGCCATGCATCTGAGACCATGCATGCTTTAGGCTCCAAGCCCACTGCCTCATCAGCCCAGTGACAGTGACAGCTGTGTTGTCCTCTTCAGGAGAACCCTTTTAAAGAGAGGATCGTGGAGGCCTTCTCTGAGGATGGCGAGGGGAACCTCACCTTCAACGACTTTGTGGACATGTTCTCCGTGCTCTGTGAATCAGCACCCCGGGAGCTGAAGGCCAACTATGCCTTCAAGATCTATGGTGAGGGCCCGGTGTGTGGGGCCTGTGCTGAGGACAGAGGGCTGTCCAAGGACAGGGAAAGGAAGCTGAGCTGCCTTCTGAGTGGTGGCTGTGTTAAAGTCTGGCCATGAGGACAAACCACCCTGGGAGACAGTTTTGGTTGGTATGAGGAAGAGACAAATGTGGTGACATTGGGTTAGGATCTAGGTCTGAAGAGCTGTGTCCCCTGAAGACACAAGGTGGCATCCATGGCAGAGAGGGCATCCTTGCAGACCCAAGGAAGCAAGATGGTGAGAGCTCAGGGGAATGGGAGAGGTAGAGGCATGGAGTGGGGGAGTCCAGAGTGGATTAAGCTGTGGGGACCCAGCTAGGAGCCAGCCTTGCACTCGGGCCTGGCACTGCAGGGCTCCTGGGAAAGGGAAGCTATATTATGGAGAAGTCATGCGGCCCTGTGGAGTGTGGGAGCCAGAAGGACGCCTAGTCCAGTGGAGAGTTAAGGCAGCAAAGAGGCCCCCAGGACAGTACATTTCATGGCCCAGTCCTCGTCCTGCCTCTCACCTGCCAACAGGTGGCGCTGGCATGCCGTGATTCCTCCAGCGGGAGGGCGGGAACTTTACACTCAGCTCAGCCAGTGAAGGCTGTGGGCCTGATGTCCCCTCTCAGACATGGATACCAAAGCTCAGAGAGGACAGGGCCTTCTGGAGCCCTGCCAACCCTCCTAGCCTCAGCACCTTGAGCAGCTGTGACCTCAGGGCTATCATCTACATTTATTATGATGTTTGCTTCAGAGGATTTTGGCTTAGCTTTGTCATTTGTGTTTGTATGTCAGAAAGCCAGCACCTGAGTGTCTACCCAGCATAAACCATGCTGCATGGATCATGCTGAGAACTTCTTGAATTCTATTATCCCTTGGCCTCAGCCCCAGGGGTGCTTCGGGGAAAGGCTGTTATCATTCCCGAGGGGAAGTGCAGGATACATCATGTAAAATAGGCAGAGGAACCAGTCCACCATCTGTCAGAGACCCTCCTGTGTGCCTACAAGGGCAGAGGGGAACCCATTTCACACCTGTCTCAGAGGTCTTCACAGCTAGCGCTGAGATGGGTGGGTGGTACTGGGCACCCTCCGATGCTCAGGTCCAGCGTGGACTGAGGCTCTGACCTCAGCAGGTCCTGTCCCTAGAGCAGTTAAATGAGCAAGGACACACAGTGCTCACATAGCAGTTACCATCTTTATCGCCACCATTCACATCTCTCAGCCTAGCGGGCAGAGGAGCACAACAAAGGGGTCCTTATATCTAGAAGCTGCTCCTGGGGGGTGCTGTTGCTGGAGGAGGCCTGATGCAGGAGAGCTTGTGCAGAAATCTGGTTTTTCAGCTGAGCGTGGTGGGAAAGGCATCAGAGCTTGCTGTGATGAGCCTGGTATACATGCTTCGGTCCGTGATCCTCTCTGCTCTGCTTGAGATGGTAGTGCGGCCTTCAGCCCAGTAGAATGAAACCATGCTCTCTGCTCTGTGTGTACAGAGCCAGTTGTGTGCCCTCTCTGAGGAACTTCTGCTTCTCCCATCATGACTTTTTTCTTTTTAACTGATAGATGGAATTGCGTGTATGCACTGTGGACAATGTGATGTGTGTATTAATTAGCTGCAGGTGTGTGACTTCAGGCCCTTCTGTGTCATGGTTCCACTCAGGGAACGTGACTCAGTCCAATAGACCCCAGGCAGAGTCCCCACTGCCTCTCTGCCCTTGACTCAGCCACTTGGCTTAGAATTTGGGCCTTGGCGTTTTTCACTCTAGAAGTTCACTGGGGTCAGGCCAGGGGTCCAAGGTTCCCAGCTTTAGGCTATTGTTGTATACACACTCTTGGGGTTTGTAGGTGCTCTGAATACTGGTGTGTCAACCGTGGTTATTGAAGATATGCCTGTGGGTGAACTCTCTTGGTCCCCAGGGTCCCTGGAGTGTGCCTGAAGATTTCCTGGGAATGCCAGGGGGTGGTGCAGAGTCAATGTCACCGACCAGATACAAAGGTAGCACAGGGCAGGACTCCTTGGGGTACTGGGGGACCCAGCCCTAGATTGAATATCTCTACTGGCACCTCCCTTTGGGCCTGCAGACTTCAACACTGACAACTTCATCTGCAAAGAGGACCTGGAATTGACTCTGGCACGGCTCACCAAATCGGAGCTGGATGAGGATGAGGTGGTGCTGGTGTGTGACAAGGTCATCGAGGAGGCTGACCTGGATGGTGATGGCAAACTGGGCTTTGCTGACTTTGAGGACATGATCGCCAAGGCCCCTGACTTCCTCAGGTACTGCCAGCCTAGGGCTCAGGCAGGGTATGCCAGGAAGCCATGATCAGAGGGCAGCCCATCTCAGGGGACAGTGGGCAGTATGGGTGGTGTGCACAGGGCAGGAGGTCACACGCAGGGCCCTTGGAGGGCCAGGCTCTCATGGAAAGGATGAGGACCCTAGAGGTTCCTGATTATGACTGGAGGCTGGAGTTGCCAGGGGCCATAGTTCCTCTGGCTTCCCTTCTTGGGGTGCTTAATGGCCCCTCTGGGTGGCTTCCCTAAAGCCAGACTGGCTGGGGCTGGGTTAGTTCTTGCCTAGGAGGCTCTTCCTGGCCCATGGTGGCCTCTCACCCCCTTGGCCTTTCTGTCTTTCCAGTACTTTCCACATCCGTATCTGAGGACCCTGTGGAGGGCCTGGAAGCCTACCATCTTTAATGCTGTCTGCAGGGCTGTGGCCCCAGCCACTCAGGAGAAGAGCTGTGGCCCTGGGTTTACACCATCAACATCAAAAGATAACTTTAACCAGGGAAGAGGGTGTGATGTGATTCAGCCCAGGGCCTCTGGTCCCTCTGTGGGTCTCCTGTCCTCCTGGGAGGAAAAGGCACGAAACCTAAGGGGAGGTGATAGGATCTCAGTTGTCTGTGTTCTAGGCAGACTCCCCAGTTGTCCAGTGAGAAGCAGGGGGAACAAAGAGGTCAGGGTTTTAACAAGCTATGCAATTTTACCCCCAATCCCAGGCTGCACCTTGCCACCTTCCACCCTTTCTAAGGCAGAAGGGTGTGATCAGCCGTCTAAAGGGCTCCATCCTTGTCTCTTCCTGGTGTGTGAGTTCCTCCCAGGCCAAATTGGCTGGCGTGTGCTGACCATAGATTTGTGAACTGTAGTAAACACTGTGTCCTATACCCTCTGTGTCTGCTGACTTCAGAAATGACTCGTGACACCTATGTTTCTGGTTGCTATAATCCACATGGGCACAGCTCCCTGGTGCAAGGTTAAGCTCTGTGTCTCCAGGCACTAGCTTTGGTTTCAGCATGATGCCCTGGGAAGAGACATCCATCTTGATCCTCCCACCCTCAGGAGGTAGGGACTCTCAGGACCCTGATTTTTGGAGGGAGAAGTTGCATAGCCAGGCACAATTAACTGTGCTCCAAGTGAATTGTTCCCAGGATAGGACAGGAAGGAGAATACCTGTAATCTGTCTGGAGATGTCAGTTCTGGCCACTGCCCCTAGTTGTCACCCTTATAGAGGTGGGGACATGTGGGCAAGGGGGGCAAGGGACAAAATAGGAAGGATCCCAGGCAGAGCCAGCATGGCCTGAGAGAGTGGTGGGAGCAGGAAAACTGAGCCTTGTCTAGAGCTTTGCCCGGCAGGAGTCCTCAGCTCCCTGGAACAAAGCTACCAGGTGGGGCTAGGCTCCTGGTCAGACTGGCTAGAGGCAGAGGGCTGACCCAGGTGGCCTGACCACACAAGGATGGTACCCAGCATTCTCTGGAAGGCTGCAGATGGCACCACTGCTATGTTCCCGACTAGCCCTGGAATGAGGAACCTTTCTAGAGGGCTTTTGCTTAGCAGTATGGTCCCAAACCAGTGCACCTGCACCAAGGGGTATGGTTTCTCTATCTATAGCATGAAGGGCTTGGGCTAGGAGCATCTGGATTTGTCCAGCTGTGTCTCAGGCTGGGAGGAGGGAAGCCAGGAGGAGCTTGTGAGTGGGTGGTAGGCCCCTGGGCTGTTCTGAGATCAAGCTGTAGCTTCAAGGCCAGGCCTTGCTGCTGTGTCCCTTCTATGGGACAGAAGAAAGGATGCAGCTCTTGCCCATCTTCCTTTCTGGATCCTGAGCCAGGAAACTGCACAATGTCCTTTGTCCATTAGGAAGGCGTCTGTCCCAGCCCAGGCCTGGCACTCCTCAGTGAGCTCCCATCCCCAGTCTTGACACGTCTTCTGGAAAGTAGTATGCTGACCCCAGTATAGTCCCTCTCTTCAGCCTTTTCTGTCCTCTGTATGCTTGGGAGACACCAGGGAGCAGGACACGTAGGCACACAGGTTGGAGAGGTCTCTCCAGGCAGGAACCCACGTTGCATCTTTGAGCTTGGTCCACATGGTTTGTTGGGTTGAGGATTCCAGGGTACCTTCAAGTGAGTGAAGGGCTTAGATGACCCAAGCATAGCGTAAGGGCCAGAGATCCCTGAGGCCAAGCCCTCTTCAGAATCTGTGCTTCTTGTCTGCAAAGAAGAGCCTCCGGAGCTTGTCAGGCTGCAGGAGAGAGAGAGAAACTTGGAGTTAGGGGCTTTGGGCATTGGCCTGGCAGGGGACCCACGCCTAGGATATGAGGTTGGGCTGGAATATTTGTGACTACTCTCTCAAGCCTTTCCCAGTGTCTGAAACTCTACCTCACACTCCAGATTAGCAGGAAGAATTCTCCCTCATCTGGCTACAAAGGGAGTGGAGAAGGAAGAGCGTGAGAAGAAGAAGCCAGTAATCCCAGCACTCAGGAGACTGAGGCAAGAGGATCACTGCAAGTTCAAAGGCCAGCCTGGACTACATATCAAGACCTTGTCTCAAAAAAGCCCAATACACATACAAAAGAAGAAATAGAAAGTGACAGTGCGCCTCACCTGACCTCCTTGCAGGGCCCTGGTCTCCCCTAACTCTAGAACTCACCACCCTAGCTGGAGGCCAAGAGTGTACTCTGGGCCACTGTATTTGGGACAGGAGATGGTGCTGCTTCTAGGGAAGCACAGGCTAGGATGTGGCTTCTGAGGTCCTTAAAGGACTCTGGTTGTGAGAAGATTGGACTCTAGGGTGTGATTGGACTGCTGTGTGCGAGTGTAGCCAAAGTGTAGCCTGAACAGGAAGTTGGTGAGCTTCCTCCAGAGGCCTCACACCTGGGAGGCTGTCACTGCTTGGTCAGGCACAGAGGTTTTGAGTGCCCTAGACCAAAGCTCTGCCAGTGGGGGGTGGCCTCTCAGTGCCGTTGTTGTCCAGGTGCAGGCAGAGTAAGGAGTGGGGTCCCTGCTTCCTGTGAATCCTGGCCAGCACCACCTGGACCTCCCTGTGCCTTCCTGACCCCTGCTCACTGTCTTCTCAGAAATCCTCAGAGATGATAAACCTATTCATTGCTAAGCCCAGAATGTGACAGAATGCCTGGCCCTATTCCCTACACAATAGCCTCAGGACACATCCAGAGGTAGCAACCCATTTCAGAGATGGAAACAGGGTCATGAGGAGGGTCTCCAGTGAGGAACACAGGCTGCCTTGCTCCATTTGATTTTCGGACAAGCCAAGAACAAATTGCAGGGGCTGGTGAGGTAGCTCAGTGGACTACTTAGGCAAGTGCAGGGACTGCTGTTCAGTCCCCAGTACCACAAGCCACGCTGTCCCCCGCCTCTAGGGCAGGTTGAGCTGAGCAGAGTCATGGTGTGGTGGTACATGCCTGTAATCCCAGTGCTGGGGAGGCTGTCAAGCAGAGGATCACTATGAGTCCGAGCTGCATAGTGAGTGAAACCCTGCAATAACCAAATACATAAAAAAAAAAGAACAAATTGCAGCATTTGAGATGTACGACAAAAAGTACTTGTTTATCTGAAATTTAACTGGATGCTCTATGTTTTCTCTTGGTAATTATGGGGAAAATGTTCTACCCATAGTTATAAGCACAGTGGGGAGGTTGACCATAATTAAGGTGAAGGGCTCCTCTTCCTTTCTGAGGCTCTAAGACCCTTTCAGAGACTGAGAGAAGACCAGAAGCCCATCTGCTGCAAAAAAAGCTGTGGATCCCAAAACCCGCTTCTTATACCAAATCTAGTAGCTGCTCCCCCCTCACCTCTACAGGCAGATGCAGGGCTGGAAAGTCTGGATATGTCTGATGGGCAGAGATGTTGACCAAACCTGCCCATGTCTGAGATGCCCCCAGGGTCAGCAGTCCCCCTGCCCACAGAGCACACCTTATGTGTCCGTTCAGGCTCCTTGCTCCTGGCTGCTGGGATTTGCTCGTAGGGGTTGCCTGGCTCTGGGAGCCCTGAGATCCTCTTGTAGCCATTGTTCATGGGCTCCGACAGTGTGCTGTACACAGGACTGGCCCCCGGAAGTGGAAGCCTAGCTGGGCCGCCTTGGCAGGCCGGGATCTGCTCGTAGGTCCTATCCTCCTGGTCATCTGTACTGTGGGCCTCCTGCAGGAGAACTCTCATCCCAGTGAGATTTGAGGCAACAGTGAAGCTGCCCTGGGAGCAGAGCAGAGCCTCATGACTCAGTTGTAGAAACTCCTGCCTCCTTGTAGTAGCCCAGGATCCCTGGGTTTCAGAGCTGGGAGGTAGGAGTGGCCCCCGGGAGATGGGAGGTGTTTTAGGGCCCTGGTCAAGGTTCAGCCCTGAGAGGGCAGGCCCCAGGTCATCAGGTCTGTCCTGAGCTCCATCCAAGAGTCTCTTCAGGGCCTCCCTGCCCCGGGGACAGGTCTGGCTGGACATGGCTGGCTCCAGGCCCACACGTGGCTGACTTGTCTTCCTCAGGTCTGCATAGATGAGGTCACTGGGGCTGGCAGAAGACTTATCCAGGAGGGTGGCACTCCTCTCAGGGAGGAGGGGCATCCTGCTGTGGGCCTAAGGAGAGAGAGACAGAGACTATCTTAGGGACATCCACTGTAGAGATGTTCTCAGGTCAGCTGGTGTCTCTTAGATTTACCCAACTGTTAAAGGCAAGGGTGGGAATGGTACCAGGATCTGCGCCAGCCCTTGTACTCTGAGACTCAGCATGGACCTTACCTTGGTGTTCAAGGACTTGGGTCTCCCAACCTTGCCCCACCCTGCTCTTCCAGCCTCTGTGGTTTATAAGTCCTTGGGAGCCTCTGAACTCCCACTTAGTGCCCAGCTTCCTCCTGCCACCCAGTTCATTGCTTGTAGCTACATCTAAGTATATAGGGGAACTACCAGCTATTTTACAGTGTTGGGTGCTGAGAACCCCGTGGTGAGCAAGGCCAACACTTGGGAGTTTACATAGAATCTGGCTCCATCGTATGGTAGAGTAGGGTGTGATTACTACATGCTGATGGGTCACAGGTGGCATCAGGTCATAGTCAGTGTTGAGAATGGGCCAGAGAGAGTGATGGGGGAGGAGAATGTTTGCTGAAGTGTTAAGTGGCCTTTCTAAGGAAGGAAATATGGAGAGGTGGAAGGTTTTGAGAGTGTGAGCAGGTAGATGGGAACAGTGTGCCAAGCCAAGGGTACCCCAAGGCCTGGCATGAGAGAAGCTGGGCAACTTCAGGGAGGACCTGGAAGCCAAGGCAGCCTTCAGTGAGGATGGGGAGGGTGTGCACACTTGCTGGGGCTCCCACGGTCTTGGGGAAGCGTCTAGAAAGTATTCTAAGTGGAGAAGTTTTGGCAGATATTGAGGAGGTGCTCTCAGACCATCCTGTAGGGTGCTGAGGGGAGCGGTACTGATCCCTGGGTACCCCACTTGGCCGTTCACTGGGCTTTTCACATCCGGGCTTTTCACATCTATTCTCTCATTCATGCCTCCAAGAAGATCAGAAATAGTAAACTGAGATTCAGAGGGATTGTGTGGGTGGCTCAGAGTTACACAGCCCCAAAATACTTGAATCCAGGTGTGACACACATCTGGCAAAACAGGGTCAGGCATGACACGATTGGCTGCCAGTGCTTCTGGCTGAGGCTGCGTCTCTGGCCTGATGCTCACTCTGTGACTGAAAGGACAGCCAGGCATAGCACCTATATCTCCATTCTGGCAGCCCTCCCTCGCCTCAAATCTTACCTCAGTGCTGTCCTCTTTGGCCAGGTCCCAGGGACCTATGTCTAGGATCTTGTTTGTGTGTAGGAAGGAGCCCCGGGCCTTCCCAGGGACATGGGAGCTGGCAGCCTTGTCAGGTACCATGGTGGGGGATGTTGCTGCTGGCTGGTTGTCAAGGCCCAGGTTGGTCTGGTGGATGCCCAGGGTGATAGCATCATATAGATCGTGGTCCTCTGGCTGGGGCAGTGGGCACACAACAGGTTCAAGGTCACATATTTTTCAATGGCCTCCAGCAACCTCCCAAGGATGGTTTCCCAGGTAATGAGATATCCCTACCTGACCCCTGACTTCAGGGAAGATGTTATAAGTCCCCCTTTCTTTTTTTTTTTTTTTTTATGAGCAGAATATATTTATTGAGGGAAAGAAAGCTTCTGTCCTGAGAGAGGGACAGGAGGGGGGGCCCCAGCGGGTAGTTCCCCCCCAAGTCCCCTTTTCAAATAGGGACCCTGTACCCACCTGAGTACCCAGGGGGAGCAGATAGTGAGCAAAGGATGTCCCTGCCTGGGCTCCCCACCCAACAAGGAGATGAGGGGAACCTACCCGGGGGCAGGCAGCTGCCAGTGTCTCCCCAAAGGGCTCCAGCTGCACTTCCTGGTAATGGCGCACCAGCTCAGCCAGGGTGCCATGGCTCAGGGTGTCCCCAGCGACCAGGTAGCGACGGTTTCTGAGTTGGTTGATGATAAAATGCCTGCAGCGATCGCTACCCCTGCAACACAAGTACATGTGGCCTAGGGACTGAGCCCTAGGTCATCCTGGAGCAGGAGGAGACTCAGCTCTGCACCCAGGACATAAGCAGCCATCTGGGCCCCTCCTCTCTTGGACACCAAGTGTCCCTGGTGAGCTCAGGAGAGTTTCACCCTACGGGGCTCTGGAGCCTGGAAAGACCTGAGCCTGCTCTAATGGAATCAAGAGGGAGGGCCGGCCAGGGTGAGGCTGGTGAAAAAACTCACCTTCAGAATCCCTCAGTTGTATTTAGAAGACCAAAATTAATACCAGAAAACCATGGTGAGCTAAATCTCATAATTTTAAAGGAAGCCAAAATGTGACCCTGTGTGTTCACAACTCAGCCTCATTTACCCCCACCCTGCTGAAACGGTGGGGTTCCACCCCGACCTTCACCCTTGCATCGTCTTTTGTGAGAGAATAACTGATACACGGGAAGCACAAACACCATAAAACACGCGGCCTGCCCACTCCATGCCTGAGTGCTCCTCGATATAAATCCTTCCAGCCTAGATGACCCAGCCCAGCCCAGCCCTTCGGGAGCTGCCATGTAGCCTAATCACCTTCATCAGTTTCACGCTTTATGGAACTTCATGTGAATTGAAATTGTACCCAATTTTGTATCGAGCTTCTTTCACTCAACTTGTCTGAACAATCGATTGATGTTCATGTACAGTTAGTTTCTCTTTTCTTGTCACATAATACAGGATTCAGTGTTCCATTTAATGAGAAAAACAACAACAACAACAACAACAACAACAACAACAAAAAAAAAAAAACAACCCACAATCTGTAAGTTCTGTGCATGGGCATTGAGGCTATAAACAGCTGCTATGAATGCTGTTCGGGTGAATATGTAGACTCACTTCTGTTTAGACCAAACCAAGGCCTAGAGCTGTTAAGTCAGAGGCAGTACAGCTTGGATAGACTAGGCTAAATCATTTCCTAAAATTCTTGTGAGTGCTCCTTTCTTCCTCAGCCCCACCAACTACTTGATGATATCTGTCTTTCCATTTTAGCTGTTTATTATTATTAGTTTTCTTCATACATCTATAGGCCTTTGAATATTTCTGTTGAGTGAAGTGCTGTTTCAAGTCTTCTGCTTTTTTTTTTTAATTTATTTATTTTAGTGTGTGTGTGTGTGTGTGTGTGTGTGTGGCCAGCTCAGCCCACCAGGGGGCGGGGCTGGCTGGCATGTGGTGCTGGGGGATTGAACCACCGTCCATGTGCTTTGCTAAGCTTGTTCTAAGTAGGTGCTTTAGACCACTAAGCCATCTCACCAGCCCCTCAAGTCTTCTGCTTTTATTTGGATTGTATTTTTTTTCTTATCTGTAGGCATTCTTCCTATATTCTGGATATGAGTTATTCTTTAGATGTATGTATTGTAATACAGAACTTCTTTAAAATTCTGCCTCAACTGTTTCATCCCTTAATATCATCTTTTGTTTATCAAAAATTATTTTAAGGAAATCAAATGTATTTTAAGTAATCTTTACTTACTGCATTCTCATAGGCATTTTTATTTACTTATGAAGATATTTCCCTCATTTTCTTTTTTTGTATCTGGTACAGGGTCTTGCTACGCAGCTGAGACTCATCGTGATCCTCCTGTTTTCAGCTTCCTCAGCTCTGGGATTATAGGTGTGTGCTGCCATGCCCAGTCTCGGTGGCTGGCTCAGCGTGCCAGGGGGCAGGGCCAGCATGGCATGTGGTGCTGGGGATTGAACCCCAGTCCCTGTGCTTGCCTAAGCAGGCGCTTAGTGTGCTGAGTTATCTTGAAGCCCCCAATCTTTTCTTCAAGAATTTTTTTTTTTTTTTTAACCAGGAATTGAACTCAGGATTCTTGCAAGCAGGTGCTGCGCTGCTGAGCTACATCACCACCCTAGAAATGTTATTGCTTTGCTTTTCTCTCTTGGATCTGCAGTCTCTCTAGAATTAATTTGTGCACATGGTATGAGCAGTAGCCTTTTTTTCCCCCACTTGGATATCCAGTTGTTGGTAGGCCCACGACTGGAAAGGTGGGAAGTGTGGCAGTGACCCTGCTGTGTATCTGGGGACAGGTATGTTGGACTCTTTCTGGGCTCCCTTCTCTTCCATTTTTCATTTCTATTTCTTTGACCAACCCCATTCCACTGTCTTTAATAAGTTGCCTAAAATCTCATTTAGAGAGGAAAAAAGCCCAACAAAGAAACAACAAAAACAAACAAACAAAAAAGCCACTTAAAAATCCCGATGCTGAAAGCCTTTTAAGTATTTTAAAACTGCTCACATACTGTATTTCCAAGTGTCTAGCATTGTGTCTGGCTCATAGAAAAAGTAACTATTTGGATAATGATTGACATTTGTCTAGTCCTAAAATGTTCATCCCTAAATACATTAGTCATCAGAGGTAGGTTCTATAGTATTCCCATTCTGCAGAAGAGACTACAAGGCATAGGGAAGCAAGGAAACATACTCAAGGTCAAGATTTGAGCTGGAGAAGCCTCTGCAATGATTCTGAATCAGAATCTGAGCCTTTTACCCTGAAGTCTGGCCTAGGGCCACCTTAGCCCTTTGGCTTCCTGATCCAGTTACCCCTGGCCAGGATCAGCTTTTTTGTTTGTGACTTTCTGTTGGCCCCCTGTCCCTATTATAGTACCTTAGCCTCTACCTTAGCCTCTCACACCCAGCTGATGGCACGGGTCCCTTCTGTCCCTCATCTCTAGGCCTCCTTTTACCAGATTCCTGGAGGACCCAGTGAGATGGAAGTGTGACCAGGTTGACCCTCATCGCCTGTGGCCTTTGTCAGAATCTGAGCTGGCTTCCCTTCTTTCCAGGCACTGCTCTGGAGGGAACCCTGTGTCTTGCTGCACCTAGGGACTTGTGGTTCCCCTGATCCCTGTCCCTGAGGCTTCCGTACTTGTGCACATGAGGTTCATCAACTTTCACCCCAGCTACACCTCCCTCCTGCTAGCAAACTGCTGCTCTTCCTTCTTGGCCACAGGCTCCAAGCCCACCTGCTGAGCCTTGTCCTTCTGGCCCCCACTCACTCTGCAATGGCCTCAACTTCAGCCCTAGCATGTGGCAGTGCTGATCAGAGGGGCCTGTTATGCAGGTGGCGATACAGAAGGGAGTGAGGGGAGGCACTCAGGGACAGCCCTGCTCCAGGCTGCAGGTCCTCTGGCACCTGCAGGCTGTATGCTGTACGCTCTTACCTGTAGGACAGGATGTAGCCGGCAGCCCGGTCACTGAGGCGAATGAGGAAGGACCCAAGAGCTTTGTCACACAGCAGTTGCTCTGTCTGCCTGGGCAGGGAACATGCTGTTAGCTGGGGCCTGGACCCCACAGTAGGTTGCTACCCAGTTTAGGCTTGTCAACCCCCAGCCATACCCTCAGCTCAGACCCAACACTGACAGCTCATCAACCCTGCCAGAGGCTGCCTTGCCCTCTATTGTGACAGGATCTGTGGCCTCTTATGGCTCAATCTGTATCCTCTGAGCACCTTCCCCCAGCTCCCACTTTATACTTGATGGCTATGGAACAAGAATGAATCCAAATACTGGCTGTCCTTTTAGGTTGGGGAAATCCCTTCCCAGGGACTCCTGTGCAACTACAGATAATTCTAGCTCGTGCAAAGAATTTTGGAATCACTGTGGGAAATTCCAGTTGTACTCTGGCTGGTAAGGTCATGGGCCAGATACTTGCTCATCAAGCACTGAATCCAATGTCCCCTCTACACAACACCAGAGATGTCCCTTGCAGGGCTGATGCCCAACAAATATGTGGGCTCTTGCTCAAAAAATTATTCAGCATTCCCAGGTTGGGCTAGCAGAGTGTGGAGTCAGGCTTTGGTCCCCCCTGAGCATAGTGCCGAAGTTGTCACACATGGCTGTCCAGAGCTAGCCCTGGCCTGTGCCTGTGTGGTGCTGGGCCCTATGACTGGCTGTGTTCCTTATTCTTCCTCTAGTGCTTTGGCAGGTGGAAGGCCCACCCCGCTAAAAAAGCAAACCCTGCAGCTTGGCCCTTAACCCTGGGCAAGAGAACATCCACATTTTCTGGGACGGTCCCCTCTGTGATGATGCTCTTAGCCCATTTTCAAGCAGTATCTCACTGGGTGATGAATGATGTGACCCCCTCATTGTTCATCAGGGTTTTCAGAGCTGATCTGGATGCCCCTACCCAGTCTTTTTTTGTCCTTGGACAGTATGGCAGCCCAGCTACCCCGGACCCATGGAGGGCAGGTGCAGTCCCCACCCTGCCCATAGGAGTTGTCCCTGAGGATACAATGCCTGCTGTCTGCTCCCTGATCAGTGCCTCCCCCAGCCCATCTAGTATTGGGAAAGGACAGGACTAGCCATCCTGGGGTCCCCAGCCAGGGTCTCAGCCCCCTTAGTCTGTGGACCATGCTGGCCCTGGGAATAGCAGCCTTACTTGCGGGTGACGAATCCATGAAACCAAGGGGGCAGTGTCCCGTTCTGCAGGATGGAAGGGGCCTGTGTCTCCATGAACCATTTCAGGGCCAGCTCCTGGAGCTCAGCGAGGGCCTGGCTGTCCCCAGGTCCCCTTTCTGGGCCAGGCTGCTCCAGGCTGCCCTCCATTCTGGTAAGAACAGATGCAGAGGCATAGCCCAGCAGCTGCTGCCTGTATATCTGCACGGCAGCTCATTTGCCTGGGCCATGCCCTCCCCGTGCCACAGCCTTAGGAGCCCATTATCACCTCAGGGCTGGCAGCTGAGTCTTCCTGATGCTTTGGGGTGGGGACATGGGCTGGCTGGAGCCCCTGGTGGGGACATAGCAGCAGCACAAGATGGGAGGAGGCCACCTCACTTTCCTGGCCAGTAGCTGAGCTGCCTTAGTAGGTCTGGCTTTCTCTTCAACCTCTGGTCTTATTGTAGCACAAAGCCAGACTGTGGCTGTAGCCTGTAGCACTGTACCTACTACCTACTGCCAAAGCATGGTTATGGACTCCACACATCCCCCCTTACCGAGGCATTTTGGTGGGGATGTTCTGAGCTGGTTCATTCCTCTTTCCACTTGAGACTCACTGAGGCCATCTTAGGCTGTGTAAATCTGGGAACACAAAGCATGATGTCATTACTTCAGAGCTATGGTGACAAATCCTACCTCCACACAGTTTATTTCCACTTCCCTTGCATATATTTTACCTTATGCACTTGAAAAATTTATTCTGATTAGTCTATAGGCTCAGATTTCCAAGAGTGCCACAGCACAGAAAAGGCTGAGGATGTAGGGTCCAGCCCAGAGTTGGTCTGCGGCCAAAGCAAGGCCTGAAGTATTCAAATATAAAGAAATATGCCTCTGCGATTTTCCATGACACGTTTTTTCCCCATCTCTCTGAGCTTGGGTGTTTATGGGCAGAACCTGGTCATTTTCCTAAGAAGATAAAGGCTTTGTGTATGGAAAGGGATGGAGCCCAGGCTTGCTGTGGGCCAGGGTGGAGATTCTGAAATCAGGCAAATAAGTGGGAGTCTATATTTATATACAAGGAAAGTGGAGACCAGGAGAGGGGCAGGACCCAAGCTGGGAAACTGAGTGAGCTCTGTGAAAGCTGGGGTGGGGTAGGAAAACATCTTCTTGGACAGTACTCTGCATCCCGTTGTTCAGTTCCTTGCCCCTGGGTCACCCACTGGGTGCTGGCACTGGAGATAGAGAGGATGCTGGAGTAGCTCTGCCCTCTGCCTCCACCCCCACCCCGAAGGTATGGGGAGAGGGAGCAACCTCAGACTCTGGAGTCAGGATGACTGGACGAGGGCCTCTGTCCCTGTTTGTGAGCTCTACTTCCTCTTCTCTGTCTGTTCTTTGTCTTGTCTCTCCTCCCCTCTCTTCTCCTCTCCTCTCCTCTCCTCTC